ATCCAAACAACCCTCACAGCAGTTATGAGTTATCATCTCCTCCCCGCGGGTGACCCGTCACTATAATTTCCGTACGGGTATTTAAATTATTGGCCCCAAAACGCTCGTAAAGAAACTTGGGTCATCTCGGACATGGCCGACAGATAAAGATGGCAGTAGATGGCGGTTATACGATTGTGGAGGTACTTAAATAAATGTCAATGTTTATTGGGATGAGTATTGAGGACAGCAGCAACTTGGGGAGAATCGTTATACGTTAGTTCTAAGTTTTGAATGAGAATATTTGACGACGTGCATATTTATGTTGCTTTTATTTTAATAGGTTAAATTAATACGTTTACCTAATTCTCTACAACAATTTTGTATTTACAACTATTTACCAGTTTGACATTGTTGTATTATTAGGATTTTGCTAATTTGATTTCTGTAAACGAGGCGGACCAAAGGCTAAGAATATAGGGTGTTTATTTTTATTATAAAAAATATGGTTGATTATTACTATAATTTAATAAGAGGTAGGAGTAAAAAAATACAAATTGTAAAAATATAGGATTTAATTTAAAATCTTGAAAAGCTATGTACGTTTATTAAGCATAAATTTAACATTAAAGCGTAAAGCAACATCAAAACACCATCAAAAATGGCGTGGGTATTATGCCTGTACATCTAAGCTGTTTTGTTTTGCGAAATAAACATAAGCCCGCTTCCTGTAACGTTGATTCGATAAGGATTCTACCATATTAATATGTATGGGAAATTTCAATAGTAAACGAATAATTTAGAGAGAAGGTTGATTCCAGTGAAAGGATTCTGATAGACTTTTTGTTTTTTTTTATTACAATTTTCGACGAAAAAGGATTTTACTTTGTTATTGTTTTAATGTTAATTATTTTTGTACTGGCATAAAAACGTGAATATTATGCAATTTTTGGTTATACACCCATCACTTTTTAATCAATATGTAGACGACACAGTCTTCTTTTGTTGATAAGGGTATTTATTTTACAGACTCGCCACGCTTGGTAGTCGTGGGATGTCCAATTTCTTTTTAAACTTAGGGTTCAGTTAAGTGAAACTGAACTTAAGTTCATACGAATCGGTTATAACTCTGTATATAATACATAACGCTCTCCTTCATGTGAGACACAATAAGCCATTCCCTAGATTTATAATTATCTTAGTTTTCTTTTACAGCTATTACGGCTTGATATGAGGTCATGTTTATCTTAGCTGGGACCGCATAGTGTATTAAACTATTCGAATTATTAATCTAAATAAAATAAGCACCAGTTACACCAATAAAAAACTTAGAAATAAAAATAACAAATAATAATAATAGAAAAGCCAACGCTCTCATCTTCATTGTATTTTAATTTTCGAACAAATTCAAATTCGTTTGGAATGTCAAAATGACGCGTTATCACATCACAGGCTGGTTCAAAGAGCCGCCATTTTGTTTGCCAGTTTACACCAGTCAAAGTGGGAGAAGCTAAAAAAATCACGTTTTCTGCTCAACTGAACGAAAATGATTGCTCGTGTGCCTGTGTACGTTAAATACGGTAAACAGATCTTGTACTACGTTGTACGTGAGAATAATTTTATGGGTATTAATTAAGAAAGTATTTTACTTCACATTAAACTTCACCCGCGTCACGCGGATAAAAACCTTGACACTATATAAATCATCTGTCACAGACGCATGAGGCCAATGATGATTTGATCAATAAAAAAATTTGAGATTCTTTAGTAAAATATTTTTATTTCTACGAAATTTTGCAAAGGCCGTATAAGCGCCAATGACCCGTCTGCAACTACTTAAGTAACATTTTTAGAAAATTCGTGTATCAGTATATTTAGCGCCATTTATAAATCCGTGGCCCATAATTGTGTTCTCTAATCTTAGTTGCGTTTCAGTTACGGGGTGATGCCATTCTAAGCCCGCATCGCACAAACCTTTAAACGTAAGACAAACCTCCTGCCTCTGTAGGTTTCCGTTATGTTGCAGATACGTTGCGGTAATGCGATATTTTATGTAATGCCTGTCTCACGAAATATATGAGAGGAGGTAAATGATAAGTCGTCCCTTTGCGCTGAATTTCTTAACAATGGTACCGCTGCGGGTAAATATTTTCCCTCATGAAATAAATATTATGGAAACAAATAATATTTGACATAATGTTTTGGTTGGAGAATTGGATTCTTATTTTAAGAAGATCAAGAGAAAAATCCTGAAGTTATTTGACAAACAGTATTGACTTAATTTCTGCGACATAAATGTCGCTACATTGCACAGATTAATCCGGAAAAAAGTGTACCTTTTACGTAACCAGTTTTATCACGACATTGTTCACTACAGTTTAGTTCTATTTGTGCCTTATCAGCTTTTTTATATCCATTCATACAAAACGAACAGTCGAATAATTCCCGGATTAAATATTTTGACGGTTTGCGATTTCACTGTACAGTAGCTGCACGCGAGCCTCGTACTACAAGATGAAATTCAAGCAACATATTAAAGAGGTCTATCTATACTGGTTAAGCTTGAACTCTATATAACGAACCAGCTTATGCTGGTCCCTTGATGTAGTAGGTTGATGTGCTGCTGATGCTACTTGTACATTTGTACCGAATGCGAGTAAGTGAAAAATTTGTCGTCGCTACAACTTTTTGCTTCAGTTCTGTTCTGTTCTTGTTTTTAGCTCGAAACCTGCAAGTGAATTGTTTGTTTTCAAGTGACGCTATTTTTGAATATGCTCCACTTTTGCAGTTTTGTTTTCTTTAAGTCTTTCGCTATTTGTTTGAAACTTAAGCTGTTTAAATGTGAAAACAAAAGTGAAGAAATAAGTTCTACGAAAACTTTTAACATAAAATTTCACAGACAAAGCAGGAATGGTAATCATAAAGTGACATAAACTTGAGTCAGAATCCTCTTCGTGTAAAATTCAGACTCATTACTTATTGTTTATATTGGTCTGTTCCTGTGGAAATGATTTTCCCGCAGTAATATAATAAGTTATTCTAGACTAGATACTCTTACATCTTTGTATAAGATTTCATTTGAATCTTATTGGTCGGTTTAGCGTGATGAACACACAAACAAACGTTACAAATTAAAGTTTTTCCGCATGAGCTTATGTGTCATTGTGTGTTTTTGATAGCTGAAAGTTTGTTGTGTTATGTTAGAATTTCAAATGGTATGAATATGAAATGTAAGAATTTTCGCTAGATTTGTCATATTATGTCTTACCTAGTCTAAAATTTTGCTATCAAATTACATATACATGCTTATTGCAGCTTTCAGAAAGAGTTAACATCCGAACAAATTGTAGGTAATAAAGAAACGAATAGCTTCATAATAACTTTTAATATAATTACAACAGAGCTTTTGTTTCAAAAAGCCCGATTCCATAAAACATTTCATTTCAAAATCGTGATTCGTTGTTTTAAATTTTTGAACGGCATAATTACAGTAAGAGGGTTGCACATTCGAAGGGAAGGGACATTAAATTTAATAAAAGCTGGGAGCATCGCAAGGGACACCTATTGTTAGGGAGGAAGGAATTTTCCTTCAAAAATTAATTTTCATCGTAAATTTTAACCCTCTGTTGTCTGGCATAATGATTTTGAGACTGGCTGTTTTACGTTTATGTTTTGGAATATGTTTCCGAAGCTACAATCTGCGCGTAAAACATTGCCATATGAATACGTATAAGTTTCTCAGATACAGCAATAAGAAACAGATAGAGGTATTTGAAAAATATATTCGTACCATAGAATATACCGGCCAAATATTCGAAAAAAAAGGAAAGTGGGCAATTGACCTATTTCACGTTTACGTGAATCGTAGCAGCGTAGCGCTACGGACTACGATCGTAGCACAAATGTAGCACTACTTACAAAGTGTTTTAGATTGTTGTTAGAATATTAAGAACCTATAGAAGTCATCAAAGTAAATATGGTTTAAGTAATTTTTATATTTGAGCAAGGATTCTCTCAAGAAGTGTATAGCTTTATTATTGTAATTGTCTTCAGAGCTTTCTTTCAGAAAAGAAAATTAATTATTAGACCTTAGAAGAATTCATATTTTCCAGTGTAGCAAAACAAAATTCTTTACTTCTTTTTAAATATTACACATTGATATGTGTAAGTATGTGATAGGTATGTGTAAGTTCACTTTAATGCACCTTTTTACCTCAAAACTAGTAGTTAGTTTAGTTTTCGCATGTGGTCCCATAATAAAAATTGTTCAGAATCACGAGTAGAAACACCCTGCAAAGTTTGCACACTGACTAAAAAATAGCCCAGTATATAGAAACATATTAAAACACAAACAAAATATTGTCATAAAGGCTGACTTATCAAAGGGATTTCGATTCAGTCAGCCCTTGAAAGAATCTCTGTCATACTAACTCTTATACTTATTCCTTTCTCCAAGACAGTAATCATCTCGAAATAGCTTTGCACAAACGCGTTGATTGCGGGAATAAAAGAAGCCGTCTAACGTCGTCATCCGCCACATCTGGGCGAGTCCAATCTGGTGCCCTGTAGGCAATTACATGTCTTTACGAGAAAACGTCTGTATTTCTCTATCTCTGGGAAATTTGTTAGTCAAATTATAGGCTTGAATCAGCATATTATAAGTAGTTTTTTTTGCTGTGATTTTCGTTCCACGTTGCAAGTGGCGGCTAAGTTCACATTGATATCCGCTATATCTGGGCGGGTGCAGGTGCCCTTGGCGGTAATTACAAACCTTCACGAGAAAGATCTCAAGTTCTGTATCTGTCTCTGAGAAATTTGGTAGTCAAATTTTAGGCTCGCATCACTATATAAGGTCCTATTAAATTCACTCCAAATATTTTTGAAGCAGATCAAATAAAATATAAGCATGTACTAGGCAAATTCTTAAAAAAATCTACACGTTAGTTTTCGAGAAAATTGCATTTAACTAAAAAAAAAAAACAAACCGAAAGAAGTGAAAATAAGAAATAGATAAATTGACATGCATCGACCGGGGATCGAACCCGGGCCGCATGGGTAAACGCCCTACCGCTCTGCCACTGAGCTATCGATGCACGGCCGATGAACGCCAAATTATCTATCTCTTGATGCTCGTCTCCAAGCGACGATCCAGCGACATCTGTAGAAAGTATTTAGAACTTACTACATGGTTAGTCCACATTATGAGTGGAATTCAAACCATATGATGATGTCATTTTATCTATTTCTTATTTTCACTTGTGAGAATAATATAGCACTGTGAGTGCATTACAATCCCAATAAACCGAAAGAAGAACACCCTGTTTGTCCTAGAAACTCACCACTAATCGCGTTTAATTTACGCGCCAAAATAAGGTGCTGTGATTGGTTGGTTGTTAGTGTGCGTGCCGTGTAAGTGAATCCAGTCTACATGGCGGAACGTCAGTCGGGTCAGTCAAAGGATGTTCTCGTAATTGATTAAAAAGTTTGTTTGAAAATGAAAATAAAAATCTAGCGCGTCGATTTTTTTTAAATGCCTTACATGTTTTTCTTATACATATTTACACATGCCCTTAAAATATTTGCAGTGAATTTAATAGGACCTTATATAGGTAGTATGTATCATCACTATGTATGTATACCTACCTACCACGTATATATTACACAGGCCTACAATGGTTTTCCCCTTTAATATCTAAATAGCGTTTCCGATAGATTATGATACACTGATTATGGGAAAAATAGTAAAAAAAATCCATCACGTCAGTTTTTTTTAAATTTCCAAGACTTAGATTTTGCTTAAAATCGCCCGGAGAGACAGTAAAAAAATAATTAAAAAAAAAAACAACGAGTTAAATCTAAATGTTACTACATTTAATTAATCTATTAGTATATAACTAATATACTTTCAATTCATAATGTGTTAATTACTACATGATTAGTATGAGAAATGTCTTTGTTACGCTAAAAATGGGTAATTTTGGGATCGTTTACTAATAGTCCTATTTTTAAGAGATAAATAGGTTGTTTAGTACCCTTTTTGTATCAGTCATTAGAATAGGGTAAATGAAGGTGATTGTAATGATTTTTAGTATAAATACCCACAACATTTAAAAAATATTACAGTTGCTTTACGCACTAGACAACGTAAACTTAAAAATGTCTTCACGAAATTGTTTAAATTCTTCCAATAGTTTTTATAGGTATGTGGTAAATTTATGTCGGTAAAACAGAGAGCAAGCATAACAGACTTCGTAAACTGAAAGAAGGAATTTTGTTGACCCTGATATAAAAAAAAATAATGAAGGATAAAAAATTCGATGAAAAACTTTCACACATTGAGCTTGAAGCATGGAAATCTTTAAAGAAGTTGTGAATGATTTCGTAGGAAACAGAAAAACCCTGACTATAAAGACATAGTGGCCAAAACGATTACAAATTTCGGCTTGATGGGCTGTTCTACGAGCATTAAACTTCATTTTCCGAATTCGCACATTGACTACTTCCCAGAAAATTCAGGAGCCGTTAGCGAAGAACATGGTGAAAGATTTCATCAGGACTTGAAAGACATGGAAAAGAGGCATCAGGAAAGATGGAATACTAGCATGTTGGCGGATTACTGTTGGCTCCTGAAGCGAGATGAGCCAAATCGAAAATTTAAGAGAAAATCGCAAAATAGAAGCTTCGCAGAAAAAAGGACTAGATTTCACAAAGATGAATAACATGTTTTCGAAATAAGCACTTATTTGTTAATCATATTTTGATATTTATTTATTTTATTACTAAGTACTTTAAAATAAATATTTTTTTTGTATGTAAGGGTATGTTTTTTTTGCAATTTTCTCTCTTTGTCGATTATGAAAAATCTGGACGTGATGGCGAAAAACTAATTACATATTCGTGATCAGCGTGTCAAATTTACCTAGAATCAGTCATCAGATCGAAAAGGGGAAGTTATGACTTGAAATTTGTAGGCCTGTGTTATTCTTTGGTTATGACTAACGCCGTCATCCGCCACATCTGGGCAATCCCAATCTGTTGCCCTGGTCTGTAATTACGTGCCTTTACGAGGAACCATCTGATTTTGCTTGTCAAATTACAGACTCGCGTTACGCTATGTCGCCGTTAGTTTTTTTGTGTATTTGTTTTGTCACAAGACTGCGTTTTAAACTTCACAAATATTATTCGTTTTTTACAAAACTTACATCACAACCGCGTACAATAATATTATAAAATGGTAACATTTTGTGACATAAAGCAATAACTGCTGTCTTCGTACAACTTACTTAATATCTGTTATTTAGCGTTAGTACAAAAATAGTAACAACAGAAAAAATCAATACATAGTATAAAGTAAAGTCCCTTCCCGTGTCTGTATGTATGTTTCCTTATATCTTTAAAACCCCTCAACGGATTTTGATGCGGTTTTTTAAGTATATAGAGGTTTTTAAATATTTTTTTCCTCAAATTTTATCTCCTATAGGGGTAAAAAGAGGTTAAAAGTTTCTATGGAAAATCTTTATTTTAAAATGCGATCTGTTTAAAAATTTGCAATTAGATCAAACAGCTAAAAAAATTGAGTACGTGTCTCAGGGATTTTCGATTTTTAACCCCTAAAGGGGAAAAAATGGGTTTCAAAGTTTGTATGGGAAATCATTATTTTTAAATGTGATCTGTTTCAAAATTTCTGTTTCAAAATTTGCGATTAGATCAAAGAGCTGAAAAAATTTTGTACATGTTTCAGGGATTTTCGATTTTTAAGCCGTAAAGGGATGAAAAAGGGGTTGACAATTTGTATGGAAAAACATTATTTTTAAATCCGATCTGTTCCAAAATTTGCGATTAGATCAAAAAGCTAAAAAAAGAAATACGTGTTTCAAGGATTTTCGATTTTTAACCCCTAAAGGGGTAAAAAAGGGGTTTAAGGTTGTATGAAAGACCAATATTTTTAAAATGCGATCTGTTTCAAAATTTTCAATTAGATGAAAAAGAAAAAAAAATGAAATAGGTACGTGTTTCCGGGGTTTTCGGTTTTCGACCTCTAAAGGGGTAAAAAAGGGGTTAAAAGTTTGTAAGGAAAATCATGATTTCTAAATGCGATCTGTCTCAAAACTTGCAATTAGATCAAACAGTGTTTCAGGGATTTTCGATTTTTAACCCCTAAAAGGGTAAAAGATGGGTTGCAGCGGGTGAAACCGCTGACGGGCAGCTAGTAAATACTAAAGCAATATTTTCAGTCGTTTAGGTACTCAAAAACTAGTACCAAAACAGTAAATTGGAATGTTTTAGCAGGAACATCAGTTAGTAAGAGCCTACATTTCTAGCTCCATTTACCAGTAACTCATTAGTCTTGATTTATAGATCGTAATCACATGCTCAGCTAGCTACTCACTCAGTTAGATGTATATCGCCAACACATCAACCTACCCTTCAAGGGACCAACTTAAACTAGTTTTTCTTAGCATGTTTAGGAAAAACCAGTACAAATGGTCCCTATGACGTGCTGGCGATGTACTATGACGTTATACTGGAGCAAAATGACGCATAAGAAGGGGCTACGTTTCTCCCACGCGTAGTTTGGTTGATTAGATTCGGGGTGATAGATCAGTTACAAGGCTATTCCCAGTACATCAACAAACTTTTTAAGGAACCAACTTATAGGTACTACTTTTTATGCAAATACGGTACATAAGGGCAGGAAAATGATGATGATGTGTATAATGTATGTAATTTGAAACCGTACAAATATTTGTCAGACGTGGCAATCACGACTTAATTTTACGGCATTTGTCGCTTTGCCTACCCCGTAAGGGTCAAAAAAGCGTGATATGTGTATGTATGTGATTGAGAATCACGTTCTTCCGATAACAGACCCAGGTGAACCACGAAAACACGAACGTTGTTTCCAACAGCTGTTAGAACTGACGTAAAACTCCAGTTTTTATGGGCACAACTCTTTTAGCAACCAGCCTGCAACCATCTTTTTATGTGCCACTAACTATTACCTATGCTAACATTCGACGTATAAACGGGTTTTTACAAGAACTCCGATTAACAAGGTTAAAAAATTATGTTACCATTTCTACTAACATGGGCTTGCTATTCTAATCCGGCGTCACATGGTAAAGAAAAGTTTGCTTACTGAGACAGCAGTTGCTATTAACTATGTCAAAGATGTACTAGGTTTGACATAATATCGACAAAAGCAATATTTGTGGCTTTTTTCGTGTGGTGTGGCTTAAAATAGCATCACCACATTTCTACCCGAGGGTGTCGTAAAAGCCGACTAAGAGATGGATCCAGGGAATGAACAACAGAATTCCCTGTGAATATATATACCACACTATGTTATTTGCTCGGCAATCTACCTGCCTAGCGAGGTAAGTATGGCAACACCCCCCCCCCCCATTGGAGGAGTCCCATGCCCAGCATTGGACTGTTGTGGCTATAGTAGTAGAAGAGACGTTTTTAAGAATATATTTCACATAGCCCTTATGTATTCAGATAGCCCTCTTGTATTGGATGTCAAGTTCCTATAATCAAGGGACATAACGATAGAAGTTGGAAGTAATGAGCGCTATAAATGGCAGGACTTCGGAATTAATTGTGCGTTTGTATTTTATAGCCGAACGATTTCGCTGAAACACTTTTTGCGTGTGGGTGTGGACTGTAACATATTTTGTAATAGTTTTTTCCGACTACATAGGAGGGTTATGTTTCTCGGGAGTGTGTAGGTATGTATGTAGACAAGAAATACGTTTTTATGGGTTACAGCCCAAGCGGGTGGGCGGATATTGACGTGTGAGGTGTCGTTAGATTCGACTCAGCAGCGCGACACTGGCAATTATGAAAATTCATTCCTGACCTAAATACCTATACTGACATAGTATGTATAACGCACATATTTTATATGTGTTTTTAACAGTAACACTTTGACCTCACTATTACTAGTTTTTTGAGCTAGTTTTAGGAATAACCATTACGGCTTGACACTAAAATTAGTGCCTAAGTTGAGGTGCTTTAATGCTTTCACTTTACTTGTATTTATTTACCTCTTTGTTTCCGGAAACGTTTATGCAACTAAAATACATTGAGT